TTTTTAACTAATCACAAATCTCAAAAGTATAAACAATGTTATCAACCAGATCATCAAAATTTATCTCTTATCAAATATTCTTGTCTTAATGAACTTTTTATTGTCAATGCTCATGATGATTATATAGAACAATTTCTAATTCATAACAAAACATATTTACAAAACAATACTGTTCTTCATATTAAATATGAATCTTTGGAACGAGTAACACATAATTTCACAAGAGATATTACACGAATAAATTGTGCCAAAATAATTAAATTAAGATTACGTGGTGAAGCAAAATGTACAAATTCTTTACAAGAATATTTTCCCTATGCCACAATATCTTCACAGCTATTCTAAAAGATCAAAAAAAATGAAAATTGTTTTGCGTATTTTTGAAAAAAATCATACCTGTATTAATGTGAAAATGATCACATGTAATGAGTAGAAATTTGTAAAATAAATTTATTTCGTTCAAATAAACATAACATTAAAAATGTCAACTCTTGTGTGTCATATAAAAAAATTTATATCAAGGGGGAAAAAGCAATTTATGGTTTTTTTAATTTAATTGATTTAAAAGTGATTTATGATTCAAATTTGAGCTTCGTGTGATTTAAATCAGCGTTTTCTTTCTTGATGCAATACCTAATCTATTGAAGATAGAACTTGGAATATAACTAAAGACAATATAAGGTTCATTGGGTAAAATGTGAATCTGATAAAGTTCAATTAGAAGTAACGATCAAGTATAACTAAATCATTGTATAATTCATCAGTTAGATAAAAAATCTTATTGTATATTTTGATTGAGATCCATCATTTCTAGATCCGATAGGTCGTATCTCGTTACGTCGTCATTGAAGTCATGATCATATTACCAAATAAAAATTGCCTATAGAAAATCTTTTCTGAACAATATGAGAAAAAACATAGATTTCCGTTATTTATACTTTTTCACTGAATTAGATATAAAGGTTATATTGGTGCATATTTAATCATTGTTGGTGTTGATGTAACTGGTTCTCATATAGCTGCAATTGAACCTTACGGTACAGCCTCTTACATGCCCTATCTTACTTCTGGTAAAAAATAGAAAAAAATCTCCTTTGATTTAAATCATTTTTCTTTGTACAATTAGGTTCTGGTGGATATACATCATTATCTGTTATTGAAGATCGTTTTAAACAAGATATGAATGTAAGTTAATTCAGTTTAAAAAGAATAATAAATAGCTTTTTTTTTATAATATCTAGGAAGATGAAGCAAAGCAATTAGTACGTGATGCTCTTTATGCTTCCATAACTACTGATTTATATTCAGGTAGTAAAATCAATATGTATGTATTAACTAAAGAAAAGTTAGATAAATTTTTACCATATGAAACTATTGCTGTTCGTGGTGATAGGTAAATAACATTCCTATTCTTAGGATTATCGAAATATATTTCTATTTAGACAAACTGATTCTATACTGGAAAAAGGAGTTGAAGTATTATCAACAAGTGTCAAAAAAATTGAATTTGATATTGTTAATGAAAAAGTAAAAGAAAATGATGAAACTATGGAACTTGCATAATTTATATTAAACAATTATTTTATTCTGGATTTTCTATTAAATAGATAAACAAGAAATTTTTTAATTATTTTTTACAGTGTTTTTTAAAATAAAAAATAAAACATTTTACTTTTTATAATTCCAACTATCTTGAGAATGGGTGTGGATGTCGGTATAAAAAAGACTCATACCCTTAAATATCACTAAAACTTCTCATTGATCTTGTTTGTATGGGTTTGAAGTATAAAAGTGCTTGTATTCTTAATAAGAAATAAAGTTATTCAAGTCTTCTCAGTAAAATAACTTTTGAGCCACTCTGTAACTCTAATGATAAGATTATTTTCGGTCGAAGGTCAGAACAGTGGTATTAATTGCAAATATTCCAATCACATATGCCAATCTTAGATCCTTCGTGTGGTTTCTGATGACTCAAGCAAAAAAAATATTCTTTAATATGTACGCCGTCAACATCGAATAAATATGAAGAGTGTTTTGAATCGTAATCTTAATATCAAGCTAAATATTTGTTAACTTTGATTCATTTTGATGTCATATACAGTTAATAACTCATCAGGAATCGCACAGAACTCTTGTATTATACTTGTTTCATAGTTGTGTATTATAACGTAATATACATACAATCGTTTGTTCTTTTTTATCGAATTCACGTTTCAAGTAAAATTGAATGGAATCGCTCAGTATAGTGAGTTACTCACTATTGAGTAGTACACGTGTATAAAGGCCTTACTATATAATAACCTTCAAGTAATGTGTTAAAAAAGAGAATAGATAAGAATGATGATGATTAAAACATGCTTGAGATACTTCACAATATCAAATATAACTAAGTAAGGTAACACATGAAAAGAATAGTAAAACTCTATCTTTTCAATTATCTTTGAATTCTTCTCTTAAAAATTGAAATATTATTATACTACTTTTATTCTTGTTGTTTTAGTTTAGATTTTATTTAATCAAGTGAAAAATCCAATGTCAATAAAAAACGATGATTCAAATTCATTTTCACTTATTTGTTTTGGAAATTTATCTGATCAACGTCTATCAAAAATCAAATTTGTAAACAAATTTGACAATCTTGATTTATTAAAAGAATATTTAAATGAAATGAAAGATAATTCTGTTATTGTTATTGTTTCTGATAATGTTTCATTGGATACAATCTCTTCAACAGATTTTCCTCAAATTTGTGCTGTTTATAATGAAAAATTTGTTTGTTTATATTGTTTACCAACAATGATATTACCTGTTCATACATATATGCAAACTATTCAAGATGAACAATCAAAAAAAAAGACTTCATCTTATTTCTTTCCACTTATTCGAAAGTATTGGTTTATTATTGGTTTATTTTTGGTTATTTTTCTTGCATATTTATTTCCAAATATAGGTAAAACAGGTGGATATATTCGTTCAGAATGGTCTATTAAAATCGGTTGTGTATTAATTATTTTCTTTCTCAGTGGTTTATCATTAAGAACAAAACAACTTGTTAAAGAAATTCTTCATATTCGTCTTCATTTATTTGTTCAAATTTATAGTTTATTAATAATTCCATTTACAATTTATGCTTTTGGTTTATTATTAATAAAATTATCTTTAAATAAAACATTAATTGTTGGTATAATAATAATGGCATCAACATCTACAACAATTTCAAGTAATGTTGTTATGACAAAAAATGCATTGGGTAATGAATATGCAGCATTATTAAATGCTGTTCTTGGAAATATTTTAGGAATATTTATTTCTCCAGCATTAATATTATATTTTCTCAAAAATCCAATATTTGATTCATTGTCAAATACATCAACTAGTGATAATCAATTAGATTATAGTCGTATTATTAAAAATTTAGCTTTAACTGTTTTAATTCCTTTATTTATTGGACAAATAATTCATTTATTATGGACAAAAAAAGTGACATATTTACATGAAAAATTTTATTTTTCCGATTTAAATAGTTTAGCTTTATTAATTCTTGTTTGGGCTGTATTTTCAAATGCTTTTGCTACAGGTGCATTTGAAACAATACATAAAAAAGATCTTCTTATTTTGATTTTTATTAATGCTGGAATTTATTTATTTTTTTCATTATTAATTATAATTCTATCAAGATTACCAATACCATATTGGCAATTTTCTCAAAAAGATACAGTTGCAATTATGTTTTGTGGTGCAACAAAAACTTTAGCAATGGGAATTCCATTAATAAATGCTTTGTATGGAAATGCAAATAAAGATTTAAGTGGAATACTTTCATTACCATTAATTATTTATCATGTTGAACAATTAATTATCGGGGCTATTTTTGTTATTTTATTAAAAAATTGGGTTAAAAAAGGAATTAAGAAACAAAATATTAAATTAAAAAATCAAGATGATCTCGATGCAGTTGAATCACAAACTATAAATATTGAATCTTCGAACTAATCGATATTCCATTTTGATAAATTGTCTTTTTTTTATATTTTGAATTTATTTGATGAGAAAAAGAAATGTAGTTTATTCCCTTTTGATTATTCAATATACAAAGAAAAGATCTATTCTTACATCAATAAACAATTGATCAGCTCATCTGTTTTTTTTCCTTAAAAAAGGAAAGAAGTAATTCATTCATTTGATCTGTAATAAGAAGTATTAATCAAAGCAAAGGTGAAATCAACATTGGACTATTTAAATCATTCGCAAAAAGAATATTATTTACCAGAACTAATACATAGAAAGAAAAAAATGCATAGTGAACTAAAACATAAACAATATCATCATGGTCATCGACAAATATGGAAAAATATCAAAGGTAATATAAACATATTAGAAAAGAAATAAAGAATTATTTTTTGTTTTATAGATTTATTAAAAAGTTGTTTTGGTTTTCGATCGAATAATAATCGATTATTTAATAAAGATGGCTCACTTATTGATAGAAATCATTTACAAACAAATATTTCTAATCATAAACAATCTTATAAACAACGTCAACAAACATGGCCTTATTTATTAAATATTTATTCACCATCAATGACTAATTATGACAAAAAAATCTATCAAAATCAAGCACAAATTCGTTATAATAAGTAAATAAAAACAAACGTTGAATTAATATATTTATATATGTAATTGAATGAATAGATTAAAACGAGTATGGCAAGAACGTATTTCTCGTGGTGATCAATTTTATCTCGTATTAGCTGATAAAATATTACGAGATGTTCATCGTACTGATAGACATATTAAATTTATTAAAAGTAATTATTATTTATTTTTCTTATTTAAATATAAAAATATTTGTTTTAGAAAAAAAACAAATCTTATTTAATATAATGATGACTTATAGTGTTTATCATCCATATCCTTGTTATAGTCAAGGTATGAGTGATATGTTAACTCCAATTGTTTATGTATTTATTGATGAATCATTAAGTTATTTTGCATATTGTTCATTAATGACTCGTTATATGAATTTATTATTTGATCAAGATCAAATTGAAATAAATCATCGTCTTTATTTATTTAATTTATTATTTCATTCAATTGATAATGAACTTTGGAAGAAAATTTATTTTAATCAAAAAGAAGAAGAAGAAAAGAATTTGTTTGTTTATCGTTGGTTATTACTTGATTGTAAAAGAGAATTTTATCGATTTGATGATATTCTTCGTGTACTTGAACTTATTTGGATTAATTCAGTCTATTCATTAACAATAACAAATTATAATCAATCATTATTTACAATATTTGTTTGTATATCAATTTTACAAGAAGATCGAATGAAAATTTTATCTTATTCAAATGAAGAAGATTTACATAAATATTTTTATTCATCATTATCATCGAAATCTCGTCATCGTTCAACAAAATGAATCTTAGAAAGAGCACAAAAATATTATTTTAATTATACATCAGCAGAGAAATAAACGTTTTTTTCCTTTTATAAAAAAAAAATTGTCTTTCATTTCAATAAAATATTTTTTTTGTTTAGACCATTTGTGCTGAATCATAGGATGAAGTTGGAACACAGTATGGTGTTAATCATTGTATGATGTTGGAGTATTGTGTGACGTTGAAGAACAGTTTGATGAGGAACCATACCATGATATTGAAGTGTGTGTTGATGCTGGATAGTACCATGATGATGAACTATACGATGGTATTGAAGAATAAATGGGTGATGAATAAGACGATGATGATGGATAGTACCATGATGATGAACCATACGAAGATGTTGACGAAGAAATGGATGATGAATAAGACGATGATGCTGGATAGTACCATGATGATGAACTATACGATGGTATTGACGAAGAAATGGATGCTGGATAAGACGATGATGCTGGATAGTACCATGATGATGAACCATACGAAGATGTTGACGAAGAAATGGATGATGAATAAGACGATGATGCTGGATAGTACCATGATGATGAACTATACGATGGTATTGACGAAGAAATTGATGCTGGATAAGACGATGATGATGGATCATATGATGGTGTTGAAGTACACGCTGATGTTGAAATATAAATTGATGATGGAGCATTGTATGCAGGTGCAATTGTGTTCATCGTATTCTCCATTATTAAGTTGATCTTATTATTTGTTTTTTCATTTAATCTATAAAAAAAAATGATTTAATTATTTATTAAAACTAATATCTTACTCAACTTGTTCATTTATAATTTTAAGTTCATCTAAATCTATTGTATCTTCTTCATGTAGTTGTAGATTTATTCCCTAAAATACAATATATTTTATTTTTTTATTTTGTTAAAAAATACTATGCTTACATCTATGATAAAAGTAGCTATGTTGTGTTGCTTTTGAATCAAACTAACATGTACTTTGATATTGTTGATATCATATGATAATGTAAATTTTTTTTTTCCATCTTTTGCATGTCGAATTGCATCTTTTCGATACTGAAAAAGAGTGAACTGTATATATATTTAGTGACGTACATTTTCTTACTTTATTTAATGTAGGAATGAAATTATTTTCTAGTAATATTTGATGAACATGTGTAAATATAAATTCTAATTTATCAGGCATTACTTTATGATTCGATGCCATTAAATAATCTAAAATAGATAAAAAATCATCGTTTGAATAATAAAAAAAGCCAAAAAATGTATATTTTATATAAAATTAAATAATACCTTAAGGAGATGTAGGAATAGTTTTCATTGAAATTAAGGTATTGAATTCAGGAAAATAACATAACATTGATATACTTGAAATATACAAATCACAAAGTCTAAGTATTAAATAAATATACAAGACCTTTTTCTACATAAAATTTTACTTTTTCAATTGATTTGAAAATTAAATTTGATTTATTATCTTTAAGAATACTTGAATTCCATGCTTGTTCTTTCCATGATCCTAAAGTATTCTTCATAAGAACCAACAATACGTATATCCAGTAGTAAAATAATCTGTGCACTATTTTTTTAATAAACTTTCTAATTATTAACAACTTAAGATTCGAATTTTTGAAGAGAAAATAGAATAAATGGTGTTGAAACTGTTATTGAATCAAATAAATGAATATGAATTTGTTCATTAGAAAATAAAATGTAACTAAACGAGTATACTGATGTAGTTGATGGTAAATATCAAAATTAAGAGCAATTGATAATGATTCTTCTTTATTTTTAAACATTCATTGAAGGTAATGAATAAGATTCTGTGTTAATTGAATAATTAATAATTTATTTATTAATACAAAGACCAATTATACCAAATTGAATACTGTGTAATCACATGGAACGGCTAAATCATTTCAACTAAAATACAAAGTCAAATGTTTTTAAATATCAAATTAAAAACAAGATGGATGGGTGTAATGGTTTCTTCTCTCTCTGTATATATATATATGTGTGTTTATATATATGTACATATGTAGCTGCACTTGTGCACGATCTTTAATACAAACTTAAAAGAGGCACAAAATGAAGAATATACGAATATATATTCAAAGGAAAAAGATCAAGAAAAACAGAAACGACGAGATATATAGACGAGAAAGAAAATAATAAGAAGTAATATCAGACACGGCAATTGTATAAACATCCAGGGTCACTGTTACAATGGGTCTCGGTGAATGACTGTGACTGTAACGGCTATAAATCATGAATGTATATCTCATCTTTACCAGCATCAATCCACTGACACCCTCGAGGAATTATTTATTAAATTGCTGTTAAAAAATAAAATAATTACACTTTAATTTGATAAATCATAAACTTCATAAAGAGAAAGTATATAATGGGAACTAGACATAGAAACTATTAAAAATCAAATATGTCTTTCTAATTAAAATAATAGTTTAATTTTAGTTTGTATTAATTGTAATAGATGTATAATATTTGGTTCTTGTTAAAATAAAATAAAAGATTGGATAAAATAATTTACAAGTCATTTTATTCGAATAAATCCTCTAGAATAAATCAGTTGTTATATTCTATCAAATAATAAATTCGTTTACTATTCAACATATCAAACTGAGATATATATACAACGAACGAATAAAAGAAAAGATGTCTCTCTTTAACAGAAATAAATATTTTATTGTTATCTTATATAAATAAAATTTTAGATGTTAAATATTTGTCGTTATGTTAAATCAATAAATAAATATTTATTAATAAATTCTCGTTATTTATCAATAAGTAAATCTGATTTAGTTGAATCAAGTCAAAATATTCAAGAAATATTAAAGACAACTGATAAGAATGAATCATCATTTTCTACATGGCTTTATAATTCATTAAATAAAATTCATTTAGAATATCCTTCAACACAAATAGCAACATCAACAAAAGAAATTTATCAATTAAATTCATCAAAATTTAATTCAAAATTTATTCAATTAGAAGATGATAGAAAAAAACAAACTGGAGATTTTAAAGAAAATAATCTTAATGAACAATTAATTATTCTTCTTCGATATATTCGTTATTTAGAAATTTCTTTTATATATCGATTTATTACATATGATATTGATATTGCTTTAAAAGATATTTTAAATTCAATTACTAATCTTACAAAAGATCAAAACAATTTAAATAAAAAGTTTGTTAAATAAAAAAAAGATTCTCTAAAATTATAAAATAAAGAATTTTTTTTCAATAATTTTAGTTCATTATCATTAATATGTGAATTAACATTTTTTGTTTATTTTCTTTCATCTAATAATTCTTTATCTAATGTTAAATCTTTATTATCATCAACATCTATTGTTAATTATTTAACAAATTCATTATATTCAATAATTCAATCTGATAATCAATCTTCATCATTATTATTAGTTAATCAATTATGTTTAGCACTTCATTCAATTATTGAAATACCTACATCATCATCTTCTATTGATTTATGGTCTTCGAATCTTTTGAAATATCTTTATAAACAAAGATCTTGTTCATTATCAATAATTAAATATTTAATATTAATTCAACACTCTTCTCCAAATCAAAATTCAACTGAAATCTTATCACTATTAAATGAATATATAATTGAAATTGGAATTCATCAAGATAATTTCAATTCTATTTGCCAATTACTTATTTTAATATCATCATATAATTATTCACATGAATTATTTCAAAGAGAAATATGTGAAAAAATTCAAAATTATCTAAAGAAACCAAATGATAGTTAGTTATATAAATTAAATTAAAAACACCATTTTTTTTATTTTTATTTTTTAGAAGGACGTGTTTTATCAGATGTTAAATTGTGTTCTCGTTTAATTTATTATTTATGTTTAAATGATCCAACAAATAGATTTGAAAGTCGTTCAACTATTGTTGAATTAAGTCGAAAATTAAATGATAATATTGAAAAAGAAAAAATATTTCCACAATGGATTGTTCAAGCACAACATGGAATGATGCTTTCAAATATTTATAATTATCGACTTCTTTTTTCTACTCTTCAACATAAATTCTTTCCACTTCTTTTTCGTAAGTTATCATTCGAATATTTGGATTATTTATATAAGAATATTTGTAGGAGATTTGGGTGTTTATACAAAATCAATTCAACGTCAATTATTTGATATTCATTATGCATTATCTATTGATCGACCTTCATTTGATACACCGTTACTCAATTCTGAAATGCTTTCTTTTGCTAAAAAAGTAACAAAATTTTTTTTATAGAATTATTTTTCTATTAATTATATTTAAAATTAGATTTCTGATCAATATCGAACATCAATTCGAGCACAACAGAAAACATATAATCGATTTTTAAACGATTTAAAACAAGAATTTAATCAAATTTATGGTGAAAATACATGTAAAATAATTAATACAGATGAAAATTATCCTTATATACTTTTTGATTGTAAATATTTCAAGAATTTATTCAAGAATAAAAATTTCAAATCTTTTTATTTTAGTTTTAGAAGTAAATTTACCAGATACAGATCAATTACGAGTCATTGGTATTAATACAAAACAAAGGTTAGTTAATAAAGAAATTTTTTTCATAATAGAAACAAAATATTTAAATTTTTCAATAGAATTGCTATTCTTCCAATATTAAATTCAATGTTAATTAGACAACAAAGATCAGATGGATCTTCAATTCGTATTTTTAGTGCACATACATCAATGAGATATAGACTTATTGTAAAAACTAATTATCAAGTCTTACCGGTTTGTGCCTTTTTTTTCTTGAATCAAATATTTCTTATTTATATTTAATTAGATTTTTCATGGTGAATATCTTCGTGCAGTTCGTAATAATACAATTCAAACTCTTTTTGAAACAAATTTAGCTTTAAAAACGATTCCTCATCAGTCAGATAAAGAAGATACAATTGATGTGTAATCTTGTTTTCGTTACTAATTACAAAATAAACATATTTCATAACGAAATCTCATTTACAAACAAAATCATTGTTTCTAATAAATTTTTCTTGTAGATTATTATGGAAGATAGAATTGTAAATATTCTTACTAATAATTATAGTTTAACTATAGATAAATTAATTGTATTAGAAGGTGGTTATTATCCTGATGAAACATATTTATTAATTACAACTAATAAAATCGAATATATTATTAAATATATTGTATATTGTCATAGTTTTGAATATCTTGAATCGATTTTAAAATTTCAAAATATTCTACATGATTTATATGAATATCCATGTGCTCAAATAATTCTATCTAAAAATGAACAAATTCTTCTTAAAGATAATAATCGATTGTTTTTTGTTCAAACATTTATTCGAGGAATAGAACCAACAAAAGAAATACTTGATAAAGATGATAATTATTTATATCATATGGGTTATCTTTTAGGACAATGGAGATTAGCTTCGAAAAATTATTTATCTAATAATAATATAAAACAAGAATGTGAAGAATTTACAAATCAATGGTGGGAAAAACAAAATATTTCTACAGTTGATGATACTTTTCTCTTATCGAATTTGTTTGAATGTAAACAAAAACTGATTAATTTAAATGAAACTTTTGAACGTGGTCTTATTCATAATGATTTTCATACAAATAATTCAATAGTGAGAAATGATCAAAAAATATTTATTATTGATTTTGTTGATGCATGTCAATCAGTATTTATAGCTGATTTAGCAACATCTCTTTTTCATTTATTAATTGATCAACAAAATGGAAAACATCGAGCAAAACTATTTTTAAATGGATATCAACAAAAAGTACAATTATCCATCGAAGAAATCAATATTCTCGATATATTGGTTCGATTAAAATTAACTATGAGTATCATTGAAGATTTACATAATTTAGATGATCCAAATGATTCTTTCATTCAATCTTGTTTTCATTTATTACATACACTTAAAAATGATTCGACATTAGTGAAAAATTTAATATAATTTTTTTTATTGATTTTGTCATAATAAATTTCATAGTTTTATCAAACATAAATGTGCTGTTTGACAAAGAATGTAGGAGAAAAACGAAAGCACTTAATGAGTTGTGCATTTTTTTTCTACCCCTATACGATGAAGGCAGAAGAAAAAAAAATAAATTCGATTGTTGGCTTCTATTTTGTTCGCTCTTTCAAGAATGTTAACAACAAATTTGTTTCTTACTCTGTACAACATTATTTGTAAAAGTAACTAGGTCACACTTCTATCAAAGCGGCATGGGTGCACACAAATCAAAATCAACGGCATCATCCAATATTCGTCAATCGCGACAACGTGTGGCACAAAACTACTTTCTCATATGGGTAGATGCCAACATCGATCAAACAAACGAGGACTGCCAAAACACATTGGCTCAATTGAAGAATGTGGTCAACGATGTCAATCTATGCACTGAAAAGAATCAGTGCATCCAAATACTCAATCAGGTTGACAGTGAAAGAGCTTTCGTCATAACATCAGGCTCATTAGGTCAACATTTAGTTCCTGAAATCCATAGCATGTCACAATTAGATGCAATATACATCTTTTGCAAGAACAAATCCAGACATCAAGAGTGGGCTCAAAACTGGACAAAAATCAAAGGTATCTATACAACAAATAAAGAAATCTGTCAAGCATTGCAATTGGCTGTTAAACAATGCGATCAAGACTCAATTGTCATAAGTTTTCTTATGATAAATGAAATAACTTCAACTGATAATTTAAATCAATTGGAGTCAACTTTTATGTATACCCAACTATTCAAGGAAATTCTCCTTGATACCGAATATGATCACAAGGCAATGAAGAACTTAGCAGCTTGTTGTCGCGAGGTTTTTACTAACAATCCAATTGAACTACAAATTATTAATGAATTCGAACATGATTATCTTCCAGAACGAGCAATATGGTGGTATACACGTGAGTGTTTTACCTACAAAATGCTCAATCAAGCACTTCGGATTCTGGATGCCGATATAATCATTAATATGGGCTTTTTTCTATGTGATATACATAAACAAATTCAACAGCTGCACAAACAACAGGTCAGCACTTATAGGGAAAAGTCGTTTGTAGTTTATCGAGGACAAGGTCTTAAGAAATCAGACTTCGAAAAACTTCAGAAAACAAAAGGAGGACTTATCTCATTTAACAATTTCTTGTCGACGAGTAAGGATAAAGAAGTGTCCCTCGACTTTGCTGAACGTGCTTCATCAAAACCGAATATGGTTGGCATTCTCTTTATAATGTCCATTGATCCTTGTATCGAATCAACACCATTTGCCTCCATTAAAGAGGAGAGTTATTTTAAGAACGAAGAAGAAATTCTCTTCTCAATGCACACCATCTTTCGAGTGAATGCAATTAAACAAATGAACAAGAAGAATCAACTGTATCAAGTTGAATTACAATTAACATCGGATGATGATCAACAATTACGATCACTTACTGATTGGATACGAAAAGAAGCTGATGGCCCTGGATGGCAAAGAATGGGCAAATTATTGCTTAAAATTGGTCAATTTAATAAAGCTGAAGACCTTTATAACGTACTACTCGAACAGACATCTGACGAGGGTGGAAAAGTGCTTTATTACAATCAACTGGGATATGTCAAAGATTATCAGGGTGATTATGAAAAGGCTATTTGGTATTATGAACAAGCACTTAAAATTCAAGAAAAATCTTTTCCTTTAAATTATTCTCATTTGGCTACTTCATACAACAACATTGGTGCGGTGTATAAAAACATAAAAGAGTATTCAAAAGCACTCTCATTTTACGAAAAAGCACTTGAAATTGATCAAAAAACTCCTACCAATCATCCTTATTTGGCTACTTCATATAACAACATCGCCTTGGTGTATGACATCATGGGAAACTACCCGAAAGCACTGTTGTTTTACGAAAAAACATTCGAACTTCTTCAAAAAACTCTTCCTTCGAACCATCCTGATTTCGCGCAGTCATACAACAACATCGGTAATGTATATATGAACATGAAAGAGTACTCGAAAGCGCTTTCATTTTATGAAAAAGCACTTGAAATTAGACAAAAAACTCTTCCTTCAAATCATCCTTCTTTGGCTACGTCATACAACAACATTGGTGCGATGTATAAGAACATGGGAGAGTACGAAAAAGCACTTTTATCTCACGAAAAAGCATTGGAAATTCGACAAAAAACTCTTCCTTCAAATCATCCAGATATTGCACAGTCATACAATAATATCGGTTCGGTATATAAAAATATGAAAGAATACACGAAAGCACTTTCATTTTATGAAAAAGCACTTGAAATTCAAGAAAAATCTCTTCCGTCAAATCATCCTCATTTGGTTACTTCATACAATAACATTGCTTTGGTATATGAAGACATGGGAGAATACCCGAAAACACTTTTTTATTATAAAAAAGCAATTGAAATTCAAGAAAAAACTCTTCCTTCAAATCATCCTTCATTAGCTACTTCGTACAATAACATGGGTTTTGCCTATGAAAATATGAAAGACTATTCGAAAGCACTAGCATATTTTGAACGTGCTCTAGACATATGGCAACGTACATTATCTCCAACTCATCCTCATATAAAAACTGTGAAAGAGAGTATTGAAATTGTAAAAAAAGAAATTATAAAGAATGCGGGTGTGGGTGAGAGTTCGGTTTCCCTACTTACACCCACATCCGAGGTGGTACAAAACATTATTTTTCCTCATTTTTAAATTAGCCTGTTTGGTTTATTTTCGATTAACAAAAGAATAACTTCTTTTCTTTGTTACCCATATCGTTTTGAATAAATGTGATCAAAAGTAATAAAACGAAGTAAAAAGAAAGACAATGATTAAATTCGTATCTTATCTAAGGCATGTTAGGGTCGGTGTTGAAAGTCTCAAATATCATATAAAACAGCAAGAAGAATAGAAAAAAAATCGATACTGATAAAACATTTTGTGCTATTAGTCAAACGAGTATTAGATCGTAAAACATTGATTACTTAATAAGAATACACATCATTTTTTTTCAATGGAACTTATCGATCTTTCTTCTGAAACTACTGTCCGAAGGCGATATGTTGACGATTGTATAATTGTTTATCTTGATGTTACTCTTAATCAAGTTAATTTAACACAACTTTCTCAATTTGGTTTTTCGTTTGAATCATTTACTGATCAAAAAGAATGTATTAATTTCATTACTAATGTACAAGATACAATAATTATTTGTATTATAGCTGATCAATTAATTGAAGAAAATATTCTTATTTTAAATAACTTACCATTAGTTACATCTATCTATGTTATCGGTATAAACGAAGAAAATTACAAATCTTGTTTAGTAGAAAAATATTCAAAGATAAAAGGTGCATCGGACACTTTATCGTCGATAGTAGAAACGTTAACAAAGGATCTTCAAATTATTAATCAAAATTCCGCTCCGATTACAATCCTTGCATCAGTTTCATCAAGAGAAGAAACAAATAATCTCAATGCTATGTATATGTATTGTGAACTTTTGAAAGAAACTTTTCTAGAAATGAATTATGGTGAACAAGCTAAACGTACACTTGTTGACTATTGTAAAATTCAATATGCAAACAATCAAAGTGCTTTGCGTATGATGGATGAATTTGATCGTGATTATACAAAACATTCGCCTACTTGGTGGTATACGCGTGATTGTTTTATCTATTGTATGCTTAATAAAGCTCTTCGAACACATGATATCGAAGTTATTAGTAAATTTGGATTTTTTATAAAAGATTTACATAATCAATTGAAAGATCTTCAACAAAACATATTATTAAGTCAGTTTACTGTTTATCGAGGACAAAGGTTAGTATTTGATAAGCAATATATATATATTGAAATGATATGATCTTTGTTGTAGTATGTCAATGGAAGAATTTGAAAAACTTAAGCAAAATTTAGGTGGTCTTATATCTTTCAACAATTTTCTCTCAACAAGTGCCGATCAACATGTATCACTTCTTTTTGCTCTCTCTTGTCTTGATGCTTCTAATATGAAAGCAATTTTCTTTGTCATAAATGTAGATCTTACTCTCAGTTCCAATCCAGTTGGTTATCTCGATGAAAATTCCAGTTTTTTCTGTGTTGAACAAGAATATTTATGGGATATGAATACTGTTTTTCGAATACATGGGTGTGGGTGTGCATGTAGCTGTGTGTGAGGATGCGGTGCGGGGTGGGTGTGAGCGTACGTGCGCGCATTTTGTACTTCTATCTTTCACCCACACTCACACCCACACCCGCACCCTCAAGTACTGCAAGGTAAATCTTGAAACCTTCTCAAAAAAAAGTGTTGTGTTGTGTTTTGAAGAGGCACATACGTTTTTCTTTTCTTTCGAGTAAGTGCTGTATGCATACACATTATTTTTTCTTTCATTATTATCATTCTCTCTTGCGTTTATCAGTTATCTCATTTTTACGAGCAGAGTGCTACACGTGTTGAATAAATTCAAGAAGTTACAAAAAGTATCATTTCTCTTTTCAGGCTGTTAGCCTAACAAACAGGTTGTTAATCACTTTCTATTTATCCTACCTACCTACCTCGCACAACATGCAACTATTTGTCAGGGGCTTAGTTAGTCAAACATCAATGTACAAAATTCAACCACATGAAACGATCGAGTCACTGAAAAAGCTAATCCAACAGAAAGAAGGTATTCGGCCTTGCCAGATGCGTCTTATTTGGAATGGAAGAAACTTGGAAGACGAAAAGACTTTTCAAGAATACAATATACAAAACGAAGCTAGTCTTCAATTAGTTCTTCGTCTAGGTGGTGGTTTCTGTGAAACATGCGAATTTCCGGATTTATTTCGACTGTCGAGTAATATCCTCACATCTGCATTAGTCCAGAAAAATTTCTTGGAACATTCAAAAATCCGGCAAGTAGAAGGTATCATAGATGGTGAATACAGAGTAATTGTATCTGAATTCATTCTACGACTACCGCAGAGTGAACAAATCACGCTGAGGAGCTTTGTAAATGGATTTGCCAGACACTATGTAAAACAATGTTTCAGAAGCTCTTGTAGTGATATGGCACATCAATATATTGAAAAATACCGCACAAAATCTGCTCATACAGTGCCGATAGAGTTGATTGTATCGTTGCATGAGCTACGTTGCCCTATTTGTTTCGCCAGATATTCCTCGGAACCATCAACAACACCTACTGAATTATGTCTCACTAGTAGGAAACACTGTGTATGCAAGGGTTGCGCTCAACATTTGCATACATGCCCACTTTGCAATGGCAATATTAACACGAAACTACCAATTGCCCAAAATGTTATGTTTACAATTGCAAACACGAAGGATAGTTTACAAGAATTATGCTTTCCTAAAGAACTACAACATTTAACTATACCAAATGACCAGCAACCGTTTGGTCACGGTGCTATTTGTAAAGTGTTCAAAGTAAATGACTATGCTATCAAGTGCCCACATGTTCCTGTAAGCGGAAGACAAATTGAAGATGCATTAATTCATGAAATTACTATCGCTCGATCACTTGCTCATATTCCAAATGTTGTCAGCGTTTATGGAGGAGTAAAGCTCCCGAATCATGGAATTAGTATTGTCATGGAATATATTAACGGCTGCAGTCTTGCTAATGCGCTTCAGGATGGTACAATTGCAGCTCTATCGTTGAAACACCGATTAAAAATTGCACTCGGTATTGTTAAAGGACTTGCCGAAGTACATTTAGCTGATATTATTCACAGAGATCTTAAACCAGAGAATATATTACTGCAGAAGGATGTGGATGGTTATGTACCAAAGATTGCCGACTTTGGAGTAAGTTTCCTACTGCGTACTGCATCAGCGACTCATTTAAAACATTCGGCTGGAACAGTGGGATATGATCCTGTTGAAGTTGCTAATGGTGATATTGCTACAAAAAAAGCAGATATTTATGCTTTGTCGTTTGTTTTGTATGAGCTTCTAACCTCTAAAAGACCTTTCGCAAATATGAAAGAGGTGCAAATCATTACCAGGTTTACGTTGAATGGACAGAGACCTACTGACTGGTCTGTTCAACGCAATGATACAGAGACTGTTCCAAACAGTATTCGCTCTGTAATTGAAGCAGGTTGGACACCTGCGGCAGATTCCAGACCAAGTATTGGAGCATTTGTGGCAGCTTTTAGACAAGCTGTATCACAACAAGAGTCATGTATTAATATGATGAAGAACACCATTGGATTCTATATGAAAGATCACACAACACATGAGAATGTATTCGACAAATATGAAGGATTTGACTTGTTTATGTTGGCAGTGCTTATTCAAAGGATTGTTGTGGAAGATGTTGATGCTATCAGCATACTAATTGGTAAATTGAAAGCAGAGCAATTCTGGATAACACAATTCCTCGTGTAATAAATACTGACTTTCTTCCATGTTACGACGCGCTGAACTTATCAAGATAAGTCACTACTTCTTTGATGAAGTGGTTTCAAAAAACCTTCCGTTTGAATAAAGGACGGGGCAGATAAGAATGCATTTTGGCCCGTTTTAATTCCCTCGACTGTATAGAGTATAGAGTATAGAGTAGAGGGTCATATGAAATAAAATAGTTTGTGTGTGTGTATGTTTGTGGCAGGTCAAAGGTCACAAAAAATATCTACTTCCAAATAATTGGATAGGGTGTGTGTGAGTGGTCATTAGACGCGCTCACCCACACGCTCACTTTTTACGCACACACTCTCACACACCCACACCCTCACACACACACACACACACACCCACACCCACACCCGAAATTAATTCTTAGAAAATACTCTTTCGAATACAAAGTTTTAATCGACTTCATTTCTCTCAATAGATTCTCAAGCAAAATAAAAGGGGTTGTAACGATTCGTAACGAGAAATTTCCCGGGCTTTCGTAATGCGAAGGCCCTGCTATCATTTTTTTACAGGGCTTTCGTAACGAATTTTGACATAGCTTTCGTAACGAAATTTGACAAGGCTTTCGTATCACTTTTTACAGGGCTTTCGTATCAAACGTAGACAGGGCTTTCGTATCAAACGTAGACAGGGCTTTCGTATCAAACGTAGACAGGGCTTTCGTATCAAACGTAGACAGGGCTTTCGTATCAAACGTAGACAGGGCTTTCGTAACAATTTTGGCATGGCTTTCGTAATCAAGTTTTTATTGCATTCATAACTAAAATGAGAGACTGGTACTAAAAATAACAGGGTATTCGTTACGAATACTCATGTTTACAAATATCGCTTAAATCATTAAGTAAGATACATTCATAACAAATTTTATATACTTCAATAATCCAAATACATGGTACTATACTATGAATGAATTTTTTGTATACATCTATATTTTTCCAGATTAATGTACGTCTCTTTTTGTTAAGTTCACTTAAAATCTAGGAGATCAATTATGTACATTCATAATTATATTATCTAGATATTGTTATTGTTCACTCTTCTCTCTTTATATATTACCTGATTGTTGTTACTTATTGTGCTAATAAAAAAAAAGATTTAAAAAAGATAAATATTTGTCCATACTTATGTTCTCGTTCTCTCTTTCTACTTTTAAATTCCCTACATTATAATTCTGGTAGATCTCTAAGTTCCATATGAAATCCTCTCAGCAACATCGGACTAGATATCATATTAAATTCTTATACGTTACGATATCCCTGTAAGAACGATACGAAGATCCTGTCAAAGTTGTTACGAAAGCTATGTCTAAATTGTTACGAAAGCCCTGTAACCTTGATATGAAAAATGTTAAAAAGTGATACGAAAGCCTTGTCAAAAACGATACGAAAGCTATGTCAAAATTGTTACGAAAGCCCTGCTTTTTATCGATTTTTCAGTTTACATTGTTACGAAAGCTCAGTTCGGAGCAGGGCTTTCGTAACCAATCGTTACTTTCCCAAATAAAATGATATCAAAAGCAAGTCTTTTTATGCAAAACAGAACGGGTGTGGGTGTGGGTGGGTGTGGATATGGATAAGCAGAACACTTACATCAACATCCACCCATGCCCTCAAGATGATCGATGGCAGAGCGGGATCATTGAAAAATGGTACATGGATTTTGATTAGAAATTGATTTTCATCGGCGCATGATGAAAGAGTACGATGAATAGATCGATGATGAATAATGATAGTAGTATTTCAGAGTATTTTGATTTTAAAATTCATTATTGTATTGACTACTGTGCATCTTGATTTAGCCAATCTATTTTCTTATAACAAGTTAAATCTTAGAGCATGATCTTGAGAGTATGAGCGTATACACGTGCGAATTTGTCATAGAAGGTGATTGCATCATTTTGTATCACAATTGTTCTTTGCTTCAATAAAAAACGTGTTTTGTTCTGTCATAAAATACCATAGGATGAATAACAATATTTTCATTCTTTTCTGCTTTTTCCATTCTTTACCTTGTTACTAGCTTGCACGAAAGAAAAAACCAACACGATATGCAGTTTTTTTTTTATTTAAGTATAAATGCAAACGAAGAGATATAGTTTTCACAAGCATAACTTTTAAAAACTATGTCGATTAATCAACATTCATTACTTGCAACATTACCTGTAGAAATTGTTTATTATATTTGCGATTGTCTTGATGCAAAAACAATACTAGTGTCATTTCGCAATATATGTCGTCGATTACGAAACATTATAAACAACTATGATAATTACATTCTTGATTTTAAAAAAACTTCACGATCCGATTTTCAACTTATTTGTCGTTTAATTAATCCTCAACAAGTTAAATCATTAACACTCTGTCAACAAACTACAACATTCGATCAAACTATATTCTTCGATAAACAATTCCATGTGAAAGATTTTAGTCGTCTTCGTTCTCTGACATTAATTGCAATTAAAGAAAGTCGATTGAGAGCAGTTTTAAAGCATATTAATATATCGTTACTTGTTTCATTTTCACTTGAAATTGGTGAACATAAAAAGCAACACGATCGTGTAACAGCGACTGTTCTCACATCAATACTTACACGGACCAATCTTCGCACACTCGCACTTAACATTGAACCAAATCGTATAGAAGCTATCGAATGGCCTGATCCATGTACGATTGAAGAACTAAAAATTGACAAGTGTATAAGTTTCGATTCCATTAGGCGAATTCTTCGTCATCTGCCTCGTTTGAGAACACTTATTATCGATTGTTATTCAATAAAAACTATTCATCCAACGAATTTGACAGCTTACTGTCGTCAATTAACTTCAGTATCATTAGACAAATTGGATATGAATATTGCTGATCTTGAATTTCTACTTCAGTCTATGACATCATTAACTGATTTGAAACTTACTGGCAATGGAAACTACTTTGATGGTCATCGTTGGGAAAAATTTATTCAAACAAATCTACTTGGATTGAAGAAATTTCAATTTTATTTCAGTGATTATCAAGATGATCAATTGAATTATCCTGATATTGAACAGATCATTCGATCATTTGAAACTCCATTTTGGATCGAATTAAAAAAATGGTTTGTCATTTGTGAGTGCAATATCAATATACCAGAATGGATCAAACTCTATTCAATACCTAATTGTATGGCGAAAGTCAATTCAAAAGTCGAACCAATAAATATTTCTATATCAACTCTGAGTACAGCAATTGATACGGACGCACCCATAGTAGTCAATACCGACTATATATGTTTCAATTTTAAAAAATTGGCATCGAGTGACATTGAACAACAGGTAAAAATATCAAGATCAATCAATAGTCAACAGTGAATTAGTTTGATTTTATTTTTTTTACTTTTAGCGAGAACCAAAACCTTATCCTTTACTGCGCATGAAGAACTATCTTGTACTTATATTCGGTTCGGAACGACCTGTTGACTGGATTCCATTTATTTCGTTGTTTGTCGATTTGACAACAATCACAAAAATTGCATTGGGAGGACGACTGATTTCTGCGGCCAATCAATCCATACTTGATGATATCAAAATTTTGCTTCAACAAGCATGTCATGTTAATTTGGTTTTGCTACGTGATACACCATTAAATCAGGAATCACTCTTATTAACAGCAAATGATATTTGTTATATAATACCAACTCATATTCGACGCTTGAGAGTGACAATTAAGGATATGAGTGAAGCCAAAATTATTCTCGAACGACTTACACATGTGTCTAGTGCTCGTTTCTACTTCGATCATACACCATGTTGCGATGAATTTCATCAATGGTTTGAAAGCAAAAATCTATCATACCAGATAGAGCCTTCTTCTGTGTACGTATGTCGTAAAAAGATCAGCGTACCGTCAAATAAACAAAACGTGGGTAACAAACGAATCAAACTTACTGATAATCATCATGATTAATGACTTTCCAGATATTTTTCATCATTCTAAACCAGAATCATCAGCATAAATTTCCGTGCTGCGTGATACAGAAGATCGTATTAAAAACAGACAACCTAATACATAATTACTAGGTTATTTGTTTTTTCGTGCTATTTATTTTTAATAATGATAAAGCTACTATTGGAATTCCCGTCTTAAAAATGGATGAATGTGTTCGCGCAAGTTTTGTAGTAATTAATTGAGCTTTTAAGTTGTATGGAATTGTGCTTAAATTTTATTTTGCCGCTTGAACACTTTGTTCATCTCGTCATACAAAAAATATCTTCTAGATTCAAGGGCGGGAGTGGGTGAGGGTGTGGGTGGGTGTTAGTGACCGAGCAAATAAATACCCACACCCACACCCACACCACACCCTCACATCCACACCAACACCCACACCCACACCACACCCTCACACCCACACCCACACCCACACCCACACCACACCCTCACACCCACACCCACACCCACACCCACACCACACCCTCACAACCACACCCACACCCACACCCACACCTACACCCACACCTACACCCACACCACACCCTCACACCCACACCCACCCCACACCCCACAAAAAAAAAATTATAAATTAGTTTTTTAATCAAAGATATGACTTCCGCTAAGCTCAAATTACAGCTTTTTCTTTCTAGTATAATAAAGAGTTTGTTTTAACTATTCCTGAATCCAGTTCTGGTAATTGCCTCCGTTTGGATTTAACGTATAAAGTTTTTTATTGTAATTTGAATCTAAAGCTCGACCAGTTGCAATATTAATAATACGAAGGCCATCAAATCTCCATCTTTGATATGCACATTTATTTGCAGGTAATGTGTAAACCTTCCCTTCCCAATTACTGTCTAAAAATAAATCGGTTTTCTTATTCCTTATATAAACACTATTATCATCAGCATTTATTATATGCCAGACTTGATAGTCATCACCATTGCTTTCAAGCGCATATGCCTCCCCGTAGCCATTGGAATCTAGTCTGTAGCCAGTCTCAGCATTTCGAAATCTTGTAATCTTTTGAACGGGTTCTGCAGAGAGCTCTAAAAATGGAAATATAGTATTTTGTTTACGAAATGAACGTCAGTGAATTGAAATGAGTAACGTATGGTGACTATCGGATATTTTAATAGGGGATGTACAATAATTTAGTTTTTGATTGTGGAATGCATAATGCTCTTCATAAGAAGAGAAGCAAAACGAAAAGAAAATAACTGCAAAGTTAAACTAATAGGGTGAGAAGTAGGGCTCAGCGAAGTCGAATTTTTTCATCTTGAGACCGATTTTTACTTCGAAAATTTTCTACTTCCCATTTCGAAACTCTTTGAAAGTCCAATTCCGATTGTGAAAGAACAACCCGATTTGAACTCCGAAAAACTCTAAAATTTTATCTCATATACTAGTAGTATATAATGGAGTGATTTCTGCATCATTCGGGTATTTTCTCAGATTGGTATATTCGTTTATTTTTCGTTTTTTTATCTATGCTGAACATATGCAACTTTCCTTTATTGAATTACTTGCTTTTCATTGAAGACTTTTCAATGAAGACACGCCACCATGGATGATTTGTATATTTTACCTAATTTTCAAGAGAGCACAACTCATATATTCAAAGGAAAAGACTTACGTCAGTGTGTCCTAGAAAAATTGGTATATAAAAATACACGAGTTGACGGAAACTTCTAATGTATCTAACAAAACCGAAAGGGTTGCACAAAATGTGCACAATATGATAGTAGAAAACGTTTGAGAATACTATACCTATGAGGACGAATGAAGTCCGTGAACTAATTATTCAGCGTCGATTGATCTGACTTTTTTTTATCTATCAACAGATTTTGATAAGAATGAGAAACTAGAATAGAATCAGTGTTCTGAGCATTGAAGTGAAATATTGACAACAACATTCAACAGTTGGAGTTTGACTTTCAATATCTACTTGTAGGTGTAGTAGTTCTCAAAAAAAACTTTGAAAACTACAGTAAAAAAGAACACTTCCTTCTTGAAATATTGATTTTTCAAATAATGCTCATATTTTATAGACAGGCGTCGAATCTATTCAGCTTTTCTAAAGGTTCCACTAGAGAAGGAATCATCTAATTCACTGACAATTTCAGAATCTTCGAAAAATTGTTATAGCTATATACGAGTGGAATTTCTGATCGAAATTCAATCAATAGATGTCTCTCTTGACACTGCTCACAAGTATTGACAATCCAATAAAATAACCATAACTAAATAAAAGGAGATCTACGACGTGTTTACCCTCTACGACCTTTTCTAGTACTAGCAAGATACCCTCAATCATTCGGTTCTTGTCTGATTCCAAGTATGATATGACTTTCTTCGCAGAAAATTCCTATTGTGCATGCTCACACAACATGACCGTTGGTAACTACATATGGTTGTTCAACGTGTGTGGCATGATCCTACCTATACATATCTTAATAGATATACATATACTACGATTTCATTATATTGATCAGCGTTTTTTCCTCGTGTCGTCTACATCAGCTTTCTTCAAATAAGCCTATAATCACTGCTAACGTCTGCCTCTACCACGATCTATCGATGGGCAAACAAGGCATGAAGTGGAAACTGCATGTGGAGGAAGAACTTCTTTCATAGTTTGTCACTTTTGAAAATTGATAAAACAAGATGATAACTCACCACGGTGTCCTGGACCATCAAGCGGATCCAACAATCGCTTAGGCGGCAGAAAGCCATGTTGTGCGCCTTTTCGTACGTAATCCTCAACCGCATGCTCAATGGCACCTTTTTGGCTCTCCCAATTGTTCGAATATCCTTCAAGGCCTGATAGAGTGGGACACCAGAATCGTCCTTGCCAACGCCAATTCCAACGATAGAAACCTGCTTTGCTCGCTGAATAGCATGTTGTGCCGAACATTGGTACTTGCTCGTTATCGTGCCAAGTATTGTACGATGAATAAAGTTGACGGAATTGTGTTACGGCTTCCGCAGCACATTGCGCCCAATTACCATTCATACATGCCTGTTGACTGCGAACACTGCCGAACGTAGCAGTAAGAACAAAGAAGAATATTACACCTTTCATGTTTCTTATTGTTGATGATGTTTATCGGCATGATTTAAATACTACGCTCGTGTAGGAAGTGCGAAACATTATCCGAGTTTCTCTGACAAAAGATAAGGAATAACGACGTATCGGCACTTCCGTTCTCCTAGTAATTCAATCGATGAAGAACAAATTCATTGTTTTTTATCGATGATCAAATTTCTCTCACTCGTACGAGTTATTTTCACTTCCTTTTGGATGTAAGTGGGTGTGGGTGAGGATGTGAATGAGGGAAGAAGGTACACACATCCTCAAGAAAGGCAAAGAACAACTTTACTCTATTCTACCAATTTTTTGATAAAAAGTATATGATTAAAGTAGATTCAGTCTATCAAAAATATTCCCAAACTTTTCTCAAAATACAGAGCTATTTCTTTGAATCATTCCTTAGGCAGACAGTCTTCTAATTATTGTCTAACAGTCTTCCTTCATAAGTTTGATTCGAGAGTAGAGATAATTGGAAGGGGAAATATTTGATGTCGCTCTCTTTTGACATTCTAATCGTTATTAGTGAAAAATTAGTATATTTAACAAAATAATTAGTTTCACATAGACATGTCGCTTTGATTGGAGTGTCATAAAAAAGTAAGACCATTCGAGTTGAGCACATTCAAAAGTGTAAGAGACTGGGTATGGGTACATCGAGAACAAACTCATGCCCACACCGACACCCTCAAGATTCAAACATATGTTTTCTAAAATATTCTTTTTAGATTTTTTTTGTGAAATAAATATTATACGAAGAGATGATCCACAGTTCTTATTGAATTTATGTAAAACATCGATGAAATGGACAATCGTTCGAAAAACACAAGCTCATTAAATGGAATCTTTTTCTGATTTCATATTACATATTGTGAGCTAATCAAAGGCAATCCAGATTTACTTTCAGATTACGAAAATGTTGTTACGACCATATTTTATCTAATTCGATACTTTCAATTAATTTCAAGCTTATAAATTCTTGAAGATGTGCGAAGACTTGTCGCTGTGAATGAGGCGACCAAATAATAAAATATCGAATGTTCAATGATTGTAGAATTATGTGATTTATCGTTTTTTGAAAGATAGAGATACGATGATTGTGCTATTTGTCTTTATAAACACTCGAAACAATAAACTGGAAGTGAAAAATGAAACAAGCGTGTAAAGAAAGAGAAAGGAATAGATTAGAATGGAAGTAAATTTGTTTTTTTCATAAAGTATACGAATCACGTAAAGATCACACTTCTCATATTGCTAATTCCTTTTTGTTATTTTTGATAAGATCAATGAAATGAAAACGCTATCACTTCCCAACTTGAAATTAATATCAAATGATCAAAGTTTTGTTGGAAAAGTCATCAGAATAATCTAACATATATATAGAGAGCAACATTTTCACATTTGTAAATCCAACAAAATTTATTTTATGACAACACCGTCAACAAAGTAAGAAGTTGTTAAATGTTACATTGTTTTTTCAATTATATCCTTTTGGCCGTCTTAATCAATCACATTTTTTCTGTTATATTAAATCGAGATAATAAAAAGGATACACTTAATCTTCCGGTGGGTGCGAGTGAAAATATTAGTTGGCAGAGAGAACAAACTCACACTCATACCCTCGAGATGGTGTTATTACTACCTTAAGAAGAAAATGTGTATACTGTCTTGTCATTTAAGTGTAACTTCAGAAGTGCATAGTAACGTATGAGTGAATCGTTCGTTTTGACATCATTCGATGACCAAATTAGATTTTACACTGATTACAAATAAATACTAAAAATGACTCCTTAGAATCTGAAAAAGTTCTTGTCAAGAGATGTTCGACTTTTTCTGGAATATTAGCAAATCAGTGTTTCGAGACGTGATTAAACACTAAATAAGT